ACCCTTTCACAGGGGTCGCCTAAGACCATCGGAAAACACATATATAATTACATATTGTTTTTGTGATTAATCACTATGCTTTAATTATGTTCAATTTGTAACAATGAAAATACATCCTGCATATCAGATATTTACATTACGATTCATAACAGTAGCAAAATTACAGTTATGAAGTAGCAACGAAAATAATTTTATGGTTGAGGGTCACAACAACATGAGGAACTGTATTAAAGGGTCGTGGCATTAGGAAGGTTGAGAACCACTGTTCTAGAATTAAAAATAAATTCTCAATCTGAAACCATTCATCATACTACTTAAGTATTCAGAAACGACAACTTCAAAGTTGGGAGAAAATATCACTTTATCACTAACAAAAATCCCAGAAAAGGATACAGCTCTTTATAAACTAAACCAAAGCAAAAACATTATTTATGCCTTACCTCAAAATTAAACATATAACCAAATATTTAATAAATTTAAATATAGTATGATTATATCATAAATATAATTGTAAATTTAAATAGCTGCAGCTTAAAATTTTAAAGCACTTCAAGCCTTTATAGAAATTACTTTAAAAGCTTTTATGTGACACACGCACGTGCGCATATTCATTTATATAGGTTTCGTTTAACTAAAGAACTGGTAAAATGCTCTCTAGAATAATGATGTTTTGCTGAACTTTAAACACTTACTTCTATATTGAATTCCTGAATAACATAGCAGCAGCATGTACTTAAAAAAAGCTGATCTTGCACTGACCGGTTTGGCTCAGTGGATAGAGCATCAGCCTGCGGACTGAAGGGTCCCAGGTTCGATTCCAGTCAAGGGCATGTATCTTGGTTACAGGCACATCCCCAGTAGGGGGTGTGCAGGAGGCAGCTGATTGATGTTTCTCATCGATATTTCTGACTCTCTATCCCTCTCCCTTCCTCTCTATAAAAAAATCAATAAAATATATTTTAAAAAAAACTGATCTTGAGAAGTATTTTCGTTAAAAAAACAAACAAAAACCTCAAGCAGTGTCACTCAACCAGGTAAGAAATTAAGAGATTTCTTCAGACTCAGCAAAGACAGAAATTATAATCTATAGCAGTGGTTCTCAACCTGTGGGTTGTGACCTCTTTGGTGGTCGAACAACCCTTTCACAGGGGTCACCTAAGACCATCCTGCATATCAGATATTTACATTACAATTCATAACAGTAGCAACATTACAGTTATGAAGTAGCAACGAAAATAATTTTATGGAAGGAAACCAAGATGGCGGCATAGGTATACACCAGAAATTGCTGCCTTGCACAACCACTTCAAAAATACAATAAAAGATAAAACAGACATCATCCAGAACCACAGGAAGGCAGGTTGAGTGGAAATTCTACAACTAGAAGGAAAGAGAAAAGCATACTGAGACTCAGAGGAGGTGTGGTGTGGAAGTAAAGTGCAGAGGTACGGAGGCGCATGCGGAAAGGGCTGGCGGCTGAGGACATGGTTGTCTTTTTCAATCGGGAGGGAGTCTCAAGCTCCCGACTGCTCTGAACTCCAGTCCCGGGCGAGTCTCTGGGGACCCAGACTCATACGGGGAGAAACTGGACTGTCTGGCATCGGTTGGACCTCAGAGGCAGCTTTCTCTCAGAGGTGCCTGCAGCGATTACCAGGACACTGAGAAGCAGGGCCTCTGAGGGCAGGACTGAGGAGCAGCCATAGCGGCTTGCTCCGCCCTGTTGATCCCCTGGGGCCCCGCCCTGCCCAAGCTGTGCGCTGGCTTTTACATATGAAATGCCTGGCCCTTTGCAATCTGAAAATTACCTAACCAACTGCAGCTGGCCAAAGGCCCCACAGCAGCTTGCATTCCTTCACAGCTGAGCTCCTGCTGGGTAGCCTCAGGCAGAGGCTAAATTAGCACCTCCTTAGAG